GTAAAGGATATAGGACTTATGGAATATGAGATTAAATTGAACAAATTTGCATATATCAACATGGAGATTGATTAAAAATAATATTTTCTTCACATTATTAAATTATTAGAAAATATACTAATGATAGAATTTATTGAATTGTATAAGGTTTCAAGTTTTTTTTCCAAAAATCTTTATCAATTAATGATAAACCTTGAAGACTGACCATAAATTCTTATAGCAGCTTATGTTGCTGGAGCTTTGAGTTAGTTATTATCTGGAGCTATACCTACTAGAAAACCCTGCCCAATCTCCTTGCTGCCCAATCAAAATGGGTACATTTGGAATTCCATGCTCAGACCATTCTCTGAGATGCCCTTAACAAGCTTCTTATAATCAGAGGCTTTGTGACTTTGGATGTTGACATCTTGAGTTGGACATGTTGGACACACTGGTTGGACACTTCTGATATGCCAGATGATCAATATATCATGGCATAGCTATGAACATTTGTGGTATACTAGTTGGAAAGTTCAGCTCTTAGCTTGTCTTAGTATTTTTCTAGAATTTTCTACCAGTACATAGTTAACTTGTTGTACTGACCTACCTCACTAAAGCATAACATTCATGAGAGCAGATCTTTAACTTTAAAAATCTCTGTTGTGTTCCCAGTGCCTTGCAAATAAATGTCACAAAGTGAGCATTTCATGTGCATTCATTGGATAAATGACTACACTCTAACATCCATGACAGTTGTTTTAATTTTTCTTTTCATCTTTAACACCTATTCTTTGTACCAAGCTCATTGTAGGTATTCAGGAGTAAACAATACCCAAGATTATAAAGGTTTTTACAGGAATGTTAGAGACTGTAGACTATTACTTAAAAGCATTAAGAAGCCATGGAAATGTTATAATTGTAAATAAATATTATTACACTTTCATTTTAGAAAATAAAGTTCTTGCTTTATGTTTCTCTAAGTAGTGACACGTCTGTACTTATACTCATCCAATCTCAAATTCTTAAATTAATATTACACTCTTTCCCCTTCTCCTTAATTCCTAATAATTTGTGACAACCTGACAATTTAATTTCAGCAAAATATATCCATCTCATCCTTCATTCCCATTTTAATTAGGGCCTTGGACCTTACTTCCCACCTTATTAGGGCCTTGTTCAATCAGAATGGGCAGCTGTAGTTGTTAAACTCATATCCTTGCCTTTGATATATTCTTCATCTAAAGTGTCTATATGCTTTATAGCCATTTAATTGTACAGCATTAGTCATCTCATTTTTCTAAACAAATATTTGCAATGGCTCATCTCTGATAAAAGATAAATTCTGCTGGGCATAGTGGAACTACATATCTGTAATCCCATAGACTCAGGAGGCTGAGACAGGAGAATCACAAGTTCAAAGTCAGCCTCAGCAACTTACCAAGACCCCAAGAACCTTAATGGGACCATATCTCAAAAAATAAAGAAAGGATGGGGGATGTGACTTAGTGATTATGTATCCCTGGGTTCAATTGCTAGGACAAAATATGTACATATATACATACATATTCCTAGTTGTCTATTTCAAAAAGTACAATGTGACTTATTATTTTGAGTGCTCATAAACTATGATATTAATCTTCTTGTGAGATAAGCAAAGACTGCCCCTCCCATTTTTTAAAAAAGTAACTTCAAACTTAAGGAAACATTGCAAAATTACGACAAAAATTTCACATTCTTCAACCAAATGTACCTAAAGTTAAATGTCCTCACATTTGCTTTGTCATTTTCTCTGTAGATATTTCTGAATCATCTATGAATATATTGTAACCACTGTATGTTTTTACTCCAAAATATTTCCTTATACATTCCTTAAGATCAAGCATTTTCTCATAGATAGTATAGTAAATTTATCAACATTAGGGCATTTAATGCTGATATAAAACTATTTATAGTTTATAACAAATTAAATATAAATCATTAAAATATAGAATAATATTTGCAAATTGTACTAATAGTGTCCTTTATAGCTATTTTCCCCCAAGTTCAGTATCTATTTCTGTATTACACATTGTAGTTAGTAGTTCTTCTCATATTTTTAATCACCTCCAGTCTAGAGTAGCTCCTCGGCTTTTCCTTGATTTTTATCACAGTGACATTTTTAAAAGTACAGACAAGATATGTTGTAGAATTCCCCTTAATTTGGGTTTCTCTTTACTTCCTCAGAATTATATTCTACTACACATTTTGGGGGTTCTGGAACACTAAGTAATATGGCCTACTTTTCAGTATTTCAATCATTAATGTTCGTCTCATTGTTGGTGATTTTCACGACTTAAAGTGATGTTTACAAGATTTACTGACTGCAAGTAATTTGTTATTCTCCTGTAGTTTAGACTCCATGGTAGATCATAGTAGATTACAAAAAGGGCCACAAGTGCCTGTCAAGACATAGATGACCCAAACTGAGCCAGCCAGGACAGAAAACTTATTTGAAAACCTGCAGAATTTCAGACATTGTAGATGTTTACTGATTTAGACTAATGTGTTTTGAGATGGTGTGTTATTCAGCAAAATCTAATAATTTCCAGGGAGACACTTTGGTGCTATATAAATACCCAGTTACACATATAACTTATGCCACTGAAGTTAAATATCACTACAAAGATTGAAAATGGGATAGCTCCATTTTACTGAGATGAAGAACGTAAGGATGGGGCTCATATGACTTCTGAGGACATACGACTGATAAATGGATGTGCCAGAATTAGAACTCCAAACTTTTGCTTGCTGGCCCATAGCTTTTCTTAACATGCCATATAGAGGTAAGTGATTTTACAGCAGAACTGGAAGTCATAAGCTAAATAAATTGAAATTCCCAAGATTTGTGGTGTTATGAGTGAGATCCTATGCCCTCACACATGCATTAAAGCACCTGTTATGGTTTGGATGTAAGATGTCCCCCAAAAGCACATATGTGAGACAATGCAAGGTTTGGAGGATAAATTATTAAGCTATAGCCTTAACTTAATTAGTGAATTAATCCCTGAAGGGATTAATTGAGAGGTAACTGGAGATACATGGGATGTGGCTGGAGGAATTGGTTCATTGTGGGTGTGGCTATGGGGTATATATTTTGTATTTGAAGAGTGGAGTCACTCTCTCTCTGCTTCCTGATCATCAAGTGAGCAGCTTCCCTCTGCCTCAATCTTCCACCATGATATCCTGCCTAACCTTGAGCTCTCAGAAATGGAGCCAGCCATTTATGGACTGAGGCCTCTGAAACTGTGAGCCCTTAAAGAAAACTTTTCTCCTCTACAGTTGTTCTGGACTGGTCCTTTAGTCACAGTGGTGAAAAAGTTGGCTAAGACAGCACCTCTGGTACATGTTTCATAAATATTAATGTTTGTTTTGCTTTTGAGTCAGGGTTTCATTTTGCTGCCCAGTATAATTTGGAACTCTGGGACTAAAGATGCCTCTGTATTCCAAATAGGTGTGACCCCATAGATGTCCTGCTGATGTTCCATAATCCATGGTAGTATAGGAGAGGCAGGAGAGACGATGTGGGAAGAGACATTAAATGTAGTTAGTATACCAATTTAAATTAATAATTGATTCACAAAAAGATATAAAGCCAACATTTCTAGACATTGCCTTTACTTAATATAATCAAGATGATCATGAACATACTCCTTGGAGATAGTATCAAGTTTGTACAAAATAGTTCTTAATACTTTTGAAGTAGCTGTTATATCCCCTTCCAACTCTGCAAAATAAACCATAAGTCACATGACAAGACACTGTGAAAAGAAGAAAGGTTCTTTGTCACTCCTTACAAATAAGGAAACAGACTGAAAAAAGTCATGGGCCAAAACTAACCAAGAGCCAACAGTGAATAAATGAGAAAGCAGAGATTTGAACAAAGCAATCCCAATTTCCTAAAAGAGTTCCTCCTAATGGCATTGGGCATTAGTCCTAAGTCTTCCAAATATTAACAGTACCTGAATCTTAAACCTGCTGGTCCATAGCTTTTCTCAACATGCCATACAGAGCTAAGTGATCTCATAGCAGAAATGGAATTCATAAGCTAAATAAATAGAAATTTCCAAGATTCCTGGTCTTATGATGTATGACAATCCTTCCTTACATTTAATTTAATAGCATTTAGTACGCTGAATTTGCTGCTATGCTACACATTAAAACATGCAAGCGTTCAGGTACTTAAATATGTATACCAGTCTGTGTTAACTATCGCACCTTCCTCACTGAGAAAGGAATTCAAAGCCCCACTTTTTTCTTTACCTCAACCTAAAATATTTAAGAGTACACCGAAGTGCTCTGCGTTTCCAGTGCTCTTATAGAACATTCGGTGGCAGTAGCAGCTAACGATGCCAAACAGGGAAAAAAAAAAAAAAAAATCCAGGTGAATCCTGTCAGAGTGCATGATCCATGATGGACAAGAGGTCAAGTCTTTTCGTCTTTTCAGTTTGTACATGAGAGCCCAAACCTTAAGTTTCTCCTAGCATCACTCTACCGCAGAGCCCATGGCAAGGGTGGGGTTGCTGGAACTTCCCCTAGCTCCCCACTAAGAGGCTCGCTGGCGCATTGGGCGAAGGCAGTGTGTGCAAGCCGGATTTTGCACCCTTTGGCCCCAGAGTGGTCGGGGGTCGCCAGGCTCTCTCCAGCACGACAAGCTGACCCCACAGTCGCTCTTGGGGGCCGTGCCTGCCAAGTATCGCGGGACTTGTGCACATCGCAGGAGCGGCAGCTCCAGGAGCAGCTGGAGCGCGCTCGGTGCGCACTGCCTCAGCTCGGGGAGGAGCAGGAGCCAGGAGGGAGGAGGGCTGGGGGTGCTGGTTACGTAAATGATACTAGTCCAGTGAGAGGCCTCTGGGCTGGGGCTACGAGAGGGGGAGGGACCGCGCGAGGAGGAGGGGCTGGGAGGAGGCGGCGGGCTGGGGTGGGAGGGGGGCGGGGGCTGGGGCGAAGTGACCAGGCGGCGGCGGTGGCTCTGCCGAGGTGACAATGTGCTAGGAGTCCTCACTCGGTCTTCGTGCCTCCTCGGCCTTGGCGCCCGCTCTGGGCGCGCTCGCGGAGTCCTACCGCCCGCCGTTGCGCTATGAGGGCGCCTCTCTGGGGCTGGCCGAGGCCGGAGCCGGCTTGCACGGTTTGAGAGGAAGTGTGAAAAGAGCGCGGGCGGGAGCTGGGGCTGCGCACAGAGCGGCACTCCCGGGCCAGCGCGGTATCCAGGTGAGCGCCGGCTTGGTGAGCAGTGTACTCGGTGCAGCTGGTCGGCGCCTGCCGGGCTTGATCGGAGGCTGAATCCAGAGCGTGGACCGCCCTTCTCTCTTCGTGGGATCCTTGGCCACGATAGCAGGTCTCCGTCTCTCTCTTTCGCTCCCTCTCTTCGTGACAGTCTGGGACGAGCCCCCTCCGTCTGTCGGAGTGCCGGAGCTGGGTGCCTCAAAGTCTCCCAGCGAGTGCCAGGAGGGTACGGAGCAGAACCCAGGGCAGGGGAAAGGGCGCGGGCGGACCTGGCGAGGCGGTCTCCTGGGATCTAGGAGTACGCTTGCTCGAGGCTGCAGGTGCTGCGGGAGAATCCAGAGGCGCGGAACTTTTCTGTCTCTACCCTCCCTTCGCTGGGCTTTTTTCCGCTACACCGCCGAGCTGAGGTGGTTAGGGTCCCCCATCTGCTCCCTGGCGGCGTTCAGCAGCGGGGGCAGATCGGTCTCCTTGTTCGGACAACTTTCTCCCACCAGCTGCGGGAAGCTCGGGTTTGAGGTGCCTACATTGTTTCTCCATCGGACACCCGGCACACTCTGGTTCCTGAGTGTCTCTCTGGACGTTAGCCTGCCTCGTTTTCTGCCTCTCTTTACCTCTTTCAGTGCTCAGACACCTCTCATTCTTTCCGTGTGTGTCTCTCTCACTCAGTTTCTGTCTGTCAGACTCTGGTTTTTGATACCTTCTGCACTCAGACCTGTATCTGTTTTTCTTTCGTTCTGTTTCCCCTTGTCGTTCTTGGGATAGCTTTGTGTTTCTGTAATTCTCTTTGCATGTCTCTCCGTCTTGCAGCATTTTTTTTTTCTCTATTTCTGCTTCTCGCTGCCCATCTCTGTCTTACTACTCTGTCGTCCCCTTTCCCCCAAATCCTGAAGCGTTTGGTCAGGGGAGCACTCATCTTCTGGGCACTTCCAGGTGCTGAGACCTCTGATCTGGGCCCGGGAGGACACAGGTTGGAGGCAGTTTGCCCTTGTCAAAGCTGTCAGAGCTGAATGAGGAGCTCAAGGGGCAAAGTGGAGGGCGTCGGACTAGCTTCCCTACCCAGGGTTGGAGGGCCCTGTGCTGCTGGGAACCCAAGTGCACTGATGCTGCTGGTTCGGACTAGAAAACTGCATAAGCCCCTCTTGCTGTACCCCTCACTTTTTTTTTTTTTTTTTTTTTTTTGACTAAGGTGAGTTGAATTTCCTAGGGGAGAGTCTACATCTCCAGCTTTAGAGGCAGCTGCAGGAGAAGAGTTAGTGTGGGCAGATATAGAACATTTGGGGTTCAGGGAAGACTAATTTCAAAGGGTAAGAGCCTTCCTGAAGCAAAGGGGTTACTAACAGCTGAGCGGAGCTTTGGGGACCAAGCAGGCATGCCTGAATTAAATTGCCTTCCACTCATTGAGTTTTTAGGAGAGCAATGAACCTGAGAGAGATCATCGTCAGGCTGACCAGAAATTTTATTTGCCTTGCTGAAGGTACTTGCTGACCCTAATGCCTTGAAATTTCAGGTTTCTTTGCGGTTTCCAAAAATTCCAGCTTTATGTGAAATATGCCTTTGCTTAGGTCTCCTCTCTCTCCACCAGCCCCAAGTCTTCCCTTTCCTTGGCTTGTTTGCTTTCATGCCCTCTAGTGTTAAAGAAACCTGCTGGCTGAGAATACTGAAAAGTAAGGTCGACCTATTGATGATTTACTTTGGACTTCTCACCTTCCAAGGATCTTTTTTCTTCTGTTACTCATGTCCTCTCTTTTTCCTGACCAACTTTTGCATTGCATTATTAATCTTTCCTTTCCCCTGATCGCTACAAATGCCTCCTTTCCTGCAGAAGTAGAACCTTCATATGGGAACCCTGTTTGTTTGACTTCATAGGTAGATAGATGTGGAGAATTTTCATAGCCTAAGGCAGACTTTGAACATAAAACATGCATTCCTCTGTGTCATTTGCCATAAACCAGGATTTCACATCTCTTTCTTATGACCCTGCCCACTTACAACTCCATTGAGAATTTCCCTGGCTGTTCCTGCTGGTTCAAATAAATGCTTTTAATTCACCATTTCTATGATGTTCATCCCATTCCAGGGCTTAAGCTACTTGCTTAAATAGGGGCACTGTGTTTCAGATCAGGTTTGGAGAGAGGAAAAGAAAGCTTTTTTCAAAGGAATTATAGGATGTTGCTGGTGCAGATTAATTCTGGATCAGAAAGTCTAGAGTAGAAAGAACCAGATGCTGCCTCTGATATGCAGACCCTAGGGTAATGTGGGAAAGCCAGTATGTGTTTAATGAAAACTTGTTGGTTGATTGATTAGCATGCAGCTGATTATAGACTTCCAAGTCACCCAGTTATGCTAATGAGCCTATACAGTTGAAGTTGAATTCTACCTCCCCCCTCTTTTTTTTTTTTTTCTGTTTCATTTAGGCTTCTATGAATAGGAATTGAAGACGAGTAAAAGATAGGTTGAAATAGAAGTTATGCTTCTTTCCAACTCATCTCATTGCTTGAATTTTCTCCTCTTTGCAACTCTTTAACTTGACTGGTATTTTTTTTTTTTTTTAAGAAATGAATTTAGAGGCTCTTATAGGTAGCATCTCTCAGCCTTCATACCTAAAGTAAATTGAGATATAACATCATACTGGGGTGAATATTTTTTGTTTGACTTTTAACAAGTGAAAAGTTCTCTTTTTAATGAAAAGAATAGATGTATCAGTTTAAAATTTTGAGGATTATAAATTGACTTGTAAGCTGAATCACCTTAAATAATTTGTAGATTCTTTTACTACTTGAAATACTTATCAGTGGTGTGATACCTAATGCATATACAAATTTGCTGAAGTTCCTGGAAACACAGTGCCTCCTCATTCGATGTTTTAGTAGTGATCCATGGGCTGCTGTATTTCTTTTTTGTTGATATGTTAGCCACCTCTTAAAACAGTTGGGGACTTACCATGAGTATTGTGCAGGAGGACATTCAAGGCAATTTGCCTTTAAAAGGATTACTTGCAAATTATTTAGTATTCTCTCCTTCCCAATTTTTTGTATTTAAAAATAGCAAGGAGAATCAAACTAGGAATTCTGATATTGGGTGAGATGACTTCTAATTTCTTACTGATTTAACATACATATTTAACTTTTTAATTAATGTGCGTCCATTTTAGGTTAAACAGTTATATCAAAATGAAATAAATTTCTATCATGCAGACTTGATTATTAACAGTGATAGTTGTAACATGTAGTAAAGATTGTGGGCTTACAAAACCTTTGGTGTTTTAGGAAGAATAAAAGAGAAAAAGTAAAAAAATAAATAAAAAGGATATTTTTGTTCTTGTTAATTGGAAAATGAATAGAACAAAACAATTCAGAGTAAAACTTGAGCAGAATTAACACCTACCATGTAAAATGACTGCAAAGCTACATGTTTTTCATAAGTATTCTTTGCACTTTATGAAAGTAGTCAATTTTAGTAGTTGTGTCCTTTAAATTAATTTGCCTGATTAGCCATCATATTCTCAAGTGACAACCCTTGAACTAAACAACACATTGTTAACTGTAACTTTTAATACATCACCTTTCTGGGGTCCCTCCTATCAGAACCATGTAGATATATGAAATGGGTTCTAACAGGATCACTACTTTGAAGTCTTAATGACCATATGTGTACTTATCTGAGGATTTTAACCAGGCATTGGTTTTACACTCATCCTTCTACTTTTATAATCAGATTTACACATGTGAAACACCAAATCGAGACCTAAATATATGTACTCATATTGACTCAAGAATTGTCTTTGATGATTTTTTTTAAGGCTACCACCTTCCCCAAACAATGCATTTAGATACCCCCTACCCCCACCACCAGGCATATGTTTGAAACCACAAACTACATTTAAAGATCTGGCACTGCCTGCTTTAATAAACCATGTTTTTTTTTTTTTTTTCCTTTTTCATTTCAACAGATTAGATTTCTATTTACAATTTCTACCTTAAGATATGTTGTTTAATTAAGAACTTTTGCCACTCAGTAACCAGCATACATGTTTTTGAAGAATCTGGCCTTCCAGTGTGAAATTTCATACTTAGAGAATTCAAGGACATTTATGAAAATGAATGCACATTAATTCAGTCATAGTTGGCCATCTATTTGGAGCATTATAAGTACTTATCTTTGAGAGCAGCAGTATAAACCATGGACTTTATTTATTTGATATTTGTTTCTTTTTGATTCATATTTAGGCCTATGTCTGTTTTCAGTGCAGTATATTTATAATAATATATTTAATTGGTCTTACTTTGATTACTAAAAAATGATTGCAGGTGCATGATTCTGACTGTGTCCCTAAATTCATTTTGGCTGAGTTTTCTGGGTTTAATTTCTTAGTATATATTGGGACGTATTTATTTAAGTAGATGATTTTTACCTTTTAAAATTTATTGAGAGGTTGATGGGGTTTAAAATTCAAATTATAAATTAATGTAGGGATAAATTATTTTCCCCCAAGGGCCCAAGTTTGCAAAAATATCCATATGATTATAGTTTTCCCAAACTATCAGGTTCTTTCTTAATGTCTACCCTATTAAAATCTCCTACCCTTCACAATTCATTTACAAGATTCAAAACATCACTTGTTTGAAGTAGTGCCATGTTAATGGTTAATCATCCCAAGATCTTGAGAGTGATATAGGAAGAGTAGTGATTTTCATGGAGGTGATCATATTTGTGGTTACTTTATGTGGTACGTGATTTAATTTGACATACTGGCCATATTAATTGCTCAGATTTCTTCTGTATTTTTTATTAAAGAAGTGCTTATTGTTAACATAGATGGGAGCTGTCCAAGGTGTATCATATCAGGGTTTTAACTTGATGGGGGATTAATTGGGATTCTGTTTCATGCACTACATTACATTGAATTGTTGCTTAAATCTTATTTAAGCTCTTGCAGAACATTACAGGGAGAGTGTGATTAAACTGTTTGTTGGCACTTTGGTGTGCATGATACATGTGGTGGGTATCCACTGTAAATAGAGAGAATTTAAAGCACAGCCTGCTCAATCAAAAAATTGCCCAAACTACACCACAGAGATAGTTGTAAATGTCAACTTAGCCTCTTGCCTTATA